CTGCTGCTCATTCTCTTTAAATCCTTCCTTCCCCCGTGGGGTTTAGTTCTTGTGGAGAATATCAGCTAATCTGGGATGAAGAAACCTTGAGAAAAAACAAAGTGGGAGGAAGCACGCTCACTGATTTCAAAATGTTCCACAAAACTACAATAATCAAAACAGCATCGCACTGGCATGAGCAGGTGTATAGACCAATGGGATAGAACAGTGGTCGGCAAACTCACTAGTCAACAGAGCCAAATATCAACAGTACAACGATTGAAATTTTTTTTGAGAGCCAAATTTTTAAACTTAAACTATATAGGTAGGTACATTGTTATTAACTTAATTAGGGTACTCCTAAGCTGGTGTTTCATCCTCTTCTCTCCAAAAAGCTCCTCCTCTCCAAGAAGCTTCTCCTCTCTTTCTCTGGAATCGAACCTGGGACACAGGCCGACACTCTATCTACTGAGCCAAACCAATCTACATTCTTCTCCTCTCTTTTTTTTAGGGCATAAGGCAGAGGGTTTTTCAAGAGGTACCAAGAGGAGAGATAAAGAACTCTACTTCTCTACTTGGACACAGAGCAGTCCAAGTAACACCCCAGAGGCTTGAGATAGTGTACAAGTTGGGGAAGTATGATGTGCTCCAACCATAAAGTGAAAGAAAGGATGGAAGGAGATGAGGTTGGAGACAGGGGTTCCAGGTTGTCCTCACATGGACGTCATTACAAAGCACGAAGTTTCAATCGCACTGGCCCGCACGTGGTATTTTGTGAAAGAGCCACACTCAAGGGGCCAAAGAGCCACATGTGCCTCGCGAGCTGCACTTTGCTGACCACGGGGATAGAATAAGGGGCCCAGAAATAAGTCTGCACTTACATGGTCAATAAATCCATGACAAAAGAGGCAAAACTGGACCACCCTCTGACACCACATACAAGAATAAACTCAAAATGGATTAAAGACTTAAATGTAAGACTTGAAGTCATAAAACTCCTAGAAGAAAACATAGGCAGTAAGTTCTTTGATTTTGGTCTTAGTAATATCTTTTTGGATATATCTCCTCTGGCAAGGGAAACAAATGAAAAAATAAGCAAATGGGACGACATCTAACTAAAAAGGTTTTTGCCCAACAAAGGAAAATATCAACAAAGCAAAAAAAAAAAACACTTCTCCAAAGAGGACATACAGGTGGACAATAAACATATGAAAAGATGCTCAACATCACTAATCATCAGAGAAATGCAAATTAAAACCACAATGAGATATCACCTCACGCCTGTCAGAATGGCTATCATCAATAAATGAACAAACGACAAGTGTTAGTGAGGATGTGGAGAAAAGGGGGCCCTCATGCACCGTTGGTAGGAATGCAGACTGGCACAGCCACTGTGGAAAACTGTATGGAGATTCCTCAAAAAATTGAAAATTGAGTTGCCGTTCAACCCAGTAATAACACTTCTGGGTATTTATTCAAAGAAAAACAAAACACTAATTTGAAAACATATAGGCACCCCTACATGTTCATATGTTCATTGCAGCATTATTTACAGTAGCCAAGATATAGAAGCAATCTAGGTGCCCATCAATAGACACGGACAAAGAAGATGTGCTACATACGTACAATGGACTGTTACTCAGCCATGAACAAGAATGAAATCTTACCACTTACAACCAAACGGATGGACCTAAAGGGTATTACGCTCAGTGAAATAAGTTAGAGAAAGACAAATATCATACAATTTCACTTACATGTGAATTTTTTAAAAAATGAATAAACAAAACAGATACAGAGAGCATGCCGATGGTTACCAAAGGGAGGGCAGAGGGGGATGGATGAAAGAAAAAAATAATAAAATATAACAGCCACCGCACCTCACAACACCCCATGTACTGCTCAGGCAACATCACAGTGTGACTGCTGTGTTCTCCCCAGTCACAGATGAGGACACTGAGGACCAGGCAGTCCCTGGCTCTAAAGAATATCCAGGAATTGCTAACAGGGGGAATATGGGTGGGACCCTGGCTGCATACCGCTTTGTATTATTTATCTTGTAAGTGTTCTGCAGTCATTCATGGTAGCTGGGTATTAAAAAGGCTTTAAGTACACATTGATAATCATGCTTCGTGTTTAATGGCACATAAACACAAAGGAGCACCAGGGTAAGCTTCTTGAGGGGAGCATCCGGCCGGTCGTCCCAGCTTCTTCACTCCCTCCCTCGGGAAGACGCAGAGCCCCGCGGAGGCCCGCCAGCCTGAACCAGGGGTAGAAGCAGGCCTCCACCTGGTGCACTGGGGCCCACATACTCACAGCTGACCTGCGCCCTGCCTTCTCTCTGCTCATCGGAGGTCCTCTCAGTCATGCTCCCTGCGCTATCGAGGGGCCTCTAACCTGTGTTTAGAATTACTGGGTTTTCCTAAACCCAGAGAATGACACTGCAGAGCCGGAGCTGGGGACTCGCCCCTGGGCGAGGATGGCAGCTTACCTAACCGATGCCTTTTTCAGGGGCGGGCCCACAAGTCAAATATTAGGCCTGGGAGTCTGCCCTGGAAAGGCAAACAGCTGGTGACAGGCATCTGTAACGTCTGCAAACAGGCCTGCATTCCTGAGATAATCATGCAACATTGCCCAGCCTGAGGCATGGCAGACCAAGGCTCACCTTAAAAACAAATAATAACAACAACGACAACAGTAGGAATTTGAAGTCACCACCAGGCGGGCCACTTGGCACCCAGACAGGACTCCAGGGCTGAACAGACAGGGGCTGGAGCAGGGAGTGAGCAGGCAGCAGGGCCCGGAGTTTGGGTGCAAGATCGCTCAGGAGGTCCGGGGGCTCTCTCGGTGCCGCCTCGTTCACCACCACTGTTCCCTTTATCATTGTTGTCGCCATCAGTCATTCTCTTCAGAGGACCTCAGAGAGCGCCATCAAGTTCCATTTCCCACACTAATTCCCGACGTCTGCTCGGATGCCAGGGGCTTAGAGTCCCATCACTGCTGTCCGATATTCACTACACCAGGTCTGCCTCTTTCAGCGGCGACCTCTGACAGGCAGGGTTACTGTGGTCGCCTCACTTTTAATAACTCTGTCTCTTCTCTGACTTGGTCCTCTGGCTACAGCCCCTCCTTGGAGTCAGACTTGACCCTGGTTTCCAGCCTCTGGAGGACACACACCTCAGGCTGCTCTCAGGAGGGGCCGGCTGTGGGTTGCATATTTGGGAATCTCTCGGCCGGGAGCGAGGCCTCACTTTCTTTCCCCTCAGCACTCTGGCAGAATAATAAGCCCCCCAACACATCCACGTCCAGGTCCTGTGAAAATGTTACATGGCAAAAGAGAATTAAGGCTGCGGGTGCCATTAAGGCTGCTGAACAGCTGACCTGGACATGGGAGGTGACCCTGGACCTGGACGTGGGGACAGGTGGGAGAAAGGAGGAGGCTGGAGCACAGGAGAGCCATAGAGAGTTGCTGTGAGAAGAACTCAGCCACCACGGCCAGCTCTGTAGACGGAGGAAGGGCCGGACAGAGGATACAGGCGCCCTGGCAGCTGGGAAGAAAGGGGACAGGTCCTGGAGCCTCCAAGAAGGATCACAGTCCTGCCCACAACTCCATCTCAGCCCAGCCACACCAGGTCAGACCTCTGATCTCAGAACTGTAAGGTAATAAACTGGTGTTGCTTTAAGCCACTACCTTTGTGGAAATGTGTTAGAGCAGCCACAGGAACCTGCTGCCCAGCCTGGCAGCAAAGCCATGAGCCAGCCTGACTTGGTTCCATTAGACATCGCCTGCTCAGAACTCGCTGCCTCCTGTAACTGCATGGCTGTGTCCAGGTGTGTGTGGCCAACAAGAATCAGAAGGTCCGGCTCCTCTTGTGTCCTTGTCAGCGAGCATTTGTGTATCCTCAGGTGATTGCTGTTCTGTGGCAGGGCGAGACTCGCTCCCACCCAGACAAGCTGTGCAGAGAACAGCCAGCTCATTTGTTACCTACCTCACCTCACCCGTGGGTCCCTGCCCTCAGTCAGCAAGAACTTGTAAGCTTGTGGGTTCCATATCCCAGGTGCTGCTCTGACCTCTTCTCTGGGTACAGTCTTCTCTTTAGAGCACCTCTGCCCACCCCTGCTTTTGGCTAAGTCTGCGTGGGTGACCGGCAGGAGCCCATGGCCCTCAAGGTGACAGAATTGATGGGATCTTGGCTCCACACACTGTCCACTGGCTCCTGGCTGGTCCCTGCTGCAGAGTGGAGGGTCAAGTCTGCTTCCAGGGTAGGGACCATCGCTCGTGAATGAATGGTCGTGGCCGGCACCCACACTGAGATCCTGACCCCCACCATCTACCTTGCATGCTGTGGCCTCTTCGTACCAACCCCAAGACCCTGCCCGCCCCCTGGTCCTCTCAGCACCTCATGCGTCCTGCTGGGGCATGGTCTCAGGGTAGGGATTCACCCCAATAGCCAGCACAAGTGCTGGAGAGCAGAAGTCCTGGCCGGGCTGGCTGGGCTGGCAGGGCTGGCTGGGCTGGCCTGGGAGCTACAGCCACCACGCGGTCCTCCCCAGCTCCATCCACAGGGGTGTGCCACCAACCCCTGATGTCCTGGTCTGTCCCCAGTACTCTTGCACGTTTTCACCGCACTCCCCACTGGATTCAACCCCAAGAGGGGGAGAGTGACGACATGGGGGTGTGACATCTCCATGTCCCTCTAGCCTTCTCCCTCCACATCTCGTCTCTTCCTCCTGTCTTGAAAGGGGAATCCTTGCATCAAATCCACCTGCCTTCAGAGGACAGCAACCCCTTGACACTACCTCCTTCCATCTCAGCCTGGCTCTTTATCTCCTGCTCCTTCATCTCTCGCCCCAATTAACACACCAGGCAGACTCCTTTCAAGTCTTCCTCGGTTTCTGACAGTGAATCCCATTTGAGGTGTCTTCTATTCCAGAAGGTGGCTCTCACTTGTAGCTGCATGTTGGGCTTTTGCCTGCCGTAGTGCAGTGACATCTGGTCAACTGGTGTCGGCGTGTGGTGGCTCTGGCCCCACTCACCTCCTCCCGATCTGAAGCTCCAGGTGGGGTTGGTGTGCCCTGCACTGGGCACACCTGGGATTCCTCTGCTGCACCCCCACCGGGCCTCCTCTTCTGTCCCCTCCTGTTCTCCAGCTCTGAAGAAGGGTGTTATACTTGGAAGAGTCTGAGTGGAATATAATTACCCTTTCCCCCAATTCTGCACCCGAAACGTATCAGTCTCCAGCCACCCCCAGGCCTCTTCTGGGCTCTTATTTAAGAGGACTTCACATTCTGTGATGCAGGGTGCCTCCACATGCCCTCGTCTTTCTTCCTGCTGGGAGGGGCCTGAGGTACAGCTCTGCCTCGATGGAGAAGAGGGTAAGCCAGGCCGGGTAAGGCCCCATCAGCGAAGGGTAGCCTCTAGGTTTTCTGGCTGATGCAGACACAGCAAGAGTGGAAATGGAGGCCACCGGATCCTTCCCCCTGGCTCCAGGGGCCTGTGGTCTTCTGTTTGAGGCCAAGACTCGGCCTTGCCCATGCGGCTTTATCAAGACTGTGGTCAGTGGATGACAGCATCCCCCTGGATTTTACAACCACTTGGCCTTTGTGTGAGTGTGTGTGTGTGTGGGTGTGAGTGGTGTGTGTGTGTGTGTGTGTGAGTGTGTGTGTGTGTGCGCGCGCGTGTGTGTGGCATATGGTTTCAAAGTCGAGACAGGAGTCTTATTATTGTGTCTAACTTGGTGAGTATTTTCATAACCGTCGCGTGTGTGTGTGGCATATGGTTTCAAAGCCGAGACAGGAGTCTTATTTTTGTGTCTAACTTGGTGAGTATTTTCATAACCGTTGGGAGAGGGAAATCGGTGAGGTGCGGTCAACCCTGCCTGATCCAGCGCTGGTCTCCGGAGCTCCTCGGAATCCCTCCATTGCCCGCAGCCTCACCCACCTCTGGGGCCCCATCCGAAGCCACTGTGCAGCCTTCTCAGAGGACAATGGCACCTGTGTCTGTCCAATTGTGTCACTAAGAACAGATTAATTTGATCTCATCTGAAACTAAAATATTACATCTGGCAGACGTTCTCTGAGATAGAACAAAGGGGGCATGTTCATTATCTGGGGGCACGTTTCCCAGGCAGTTTGAGCTGGTGGGTTCACCAGGAAGCTGTTACTGCAGCCCCGATGGTCTAGGACTGTGGTCCTCCTGGAACTCTGGGGGCCGGGCGATTCCTGCTCCAGACACCCTCCAAGGGACCCATCCTAGCCATGCTCTGCGGGGACAAAGGTGGGAGTCAGCTCAGCTTGCTCCCCTGCTGGGAGAGACCCAAACCACTTATTGAGGAAATGCCCGCTGGCTTTGCCCTCGGGACTCTGTGACCATGGCAGGGCGGGTGCAGTGACCCATCGGCGTTCTCTGCAGGGCACCAGCCTGACGTGCACCCAGTGTGAATTGTCTTCAGCTCAGGGCCATTAGCTCAGGTCAGTGTGGCAGAATGAACGTGACTGGCCTGGGCATCACAGGGCACAGGGTCAGCCTTACCCGCCATCTAATGAGCCTTTTCTCTGCATCCTCTGTGACTTCTGCTCTGTCCAGCTTATCGACCGCTTGCATCTTTCTCTTCTCTAACCTCCTCTTACACAATTACACTAGGAACAGATGGGTTCTGGAGAACCATGTGGCCCGACCAGAACCACCAGCCTGATCCACTAACCCATCCATCTCAGGTAGACTAGACACCAGATGCTCATGACCATGTCTACACTCACCCAGCCAACCAGGACACCTCAGCTCAGTCCCCCAGCTCTGAGCTCTGCGTCAGCAAGCTCAGGGCTGCAGCTCAGAGCTGGAGAAGGAATGTGGGCCCAGGACCTTCACCCTGAACGTGGGCCCGGGACCCCTGACCGCCTCTTTCTGTTGTGCTGAGCTATGTGAGGTGGTGCAGGTAACGGTGGGACCTGCCCCAGCCTATGACTTGGAACCTTTGTGGTTTGTAGCCCCTTGGACAACGCGTGAAAGTCATGTATGTGCATCCTGGGAAAATACACAATTGTGAACAGTCACAGAAACGTTTAAATGCCATTTCGTGCCTATAAAAATAAGTTCCCACCTACCCATATGCACGTTTGAATCCAGCATGTTGGTGTGTGAGAAGGATCCCGTGTGTGTGCTCACGCATTCAGAGGCTGTTGCAACGAGATGTCCAACGTGCTCCTTGTTTCTGCTGTTTCCCTCAGGGGCCTGAAGGGCAAGGTGAAGAAGGAGAGCTCCCAGAGGGAGCTGGTTTCCGACGCGGCCCTCCTGAGCGACACCCACTGTGCCCACTGCCTGCAGCCCTACCGGCTCCTGGAGGCCCCCAAACGGCAGTGCCTGGACTGCCGCCTCTTCACCTGCCAAGGCTGCAGCCACGCCCACCCCGAGGAGGAGGGCTGGCTCTGCCACCCCTGTCACCTGGCCAGGTGAGCAGGGCCCGGAGATCCAGGGACCCTGATGGTTTTGAGGGATGGCTTGTCCCT